ATATCGTTTGCAGCCTGCCTACTTTTAATATGCAGAATAGTTAGCATATTTTATTTAATCGCCACGCTGGGGTCTTGGTGAGCAGATTGGGTGGGTCCAATCTGACACGGTAACGCTGTTGCCACTGGGCCGGAGCTGTTGTCATCGTCGTCGCCTGAACTTCCTCGTCCTTCGGCCTTCACTTTGGCTCGTTGGCTCAGGTTGGACTTACCGCCGTCGCTATCGCCCCTTCCATTGTCACCACCGCCCCTTATTCGCCATAGCCTTGCCCGAGTTGAATTCATGCCAGCCATCCAGATTAATTGTGGCAATGATGCATGGTGGCTAAATGCCGGTCCATTTGTCGCTCCGCTGTAAAAGTGTGGCGCGACAGGCGACCGAAATGTTCGCGAGCTGGTCGGCGCACGGATTTGTGTCCGCGTGTGTTCGTGGTGTGTGCAGGCTTGTTCCGTGTTCGTGCCTTTCTTTATTGATGGGAATAGGAAAGGCCGAGGGGAAGCCTTTGTCAAGTGGCTATGAAAAATTGCCTGACGTGCTGTGTGAGTGTTACTCGTGAAGTGGGGGCCGTCGTTCGTGTATCAAGCACCGTTTAGTGCCCGGTGCCTGTCCAGTTGGATATTGAATGCAGTGAGTACCGGCTAGTCTACCTGAGTCAGCAATCCGCAAAAGGCCGGCGACCAAATCTGATCTGGGCGTGGTGGGTTCTGTACCCGGTAAACTTCAACCGTACCTTAATGTGGCTATCCGGACTCCGTGGCATGAGTATCCAGAAGGCATTCGGTGACTCTTTTCGGACATGAATTCCAATGACGCTTTTATGTCTCTAATTATGCAAATATCTAACACGCGTGCATTTGGCTGTGGTCTGTGGACGCCTGTAGTGACTCTGGCCTTTGTGTCTATCTGCCCTTCGTGTTCGTTCTAGTTCGTGGTCTCATTATTTGGATCATTTTTGGTCCCTACCGTCACATGAAGCATGCGGCACTAATTGCTCGCGCGACCTCGATGGTATGATACAGCCCTCTGGATAGCCATAAAAGCAAATGACAAACCGCAGTGTCATCACATCGTCCACAAATTGCTCCTGAGGCCGCTCAATACGCAATGCTAGAACGGGCCGGACGAACACAACTATGAAATACAGTTTTGTGTTTTCATTTTATCTAAATGTGCAATGCGGTTTTGAGCGAAATAAATCCAGCAGGCACTATAATCTTTTTATTTTCCATCTTAATTAGTTTACTTAGAGACGTCAAACAGGAATTTGTTTACCTTTCAGTTGTTTTTAAACTGCTTTATGCGTTATTTTTTGTTATTATCCTTCGAAGTTTAAAGAAGACTTTGTATCTGTGGCACGGGTGAACAGTAAACACATTCCTTTGTTCTAAATTCAGGTATCAGCGTGCTCCACATTGGTAGCACAGGCCGAGGCTATTGGTGTGACCGATCAGCGGGTATGGACGGACCGCGGCTGTGACTGACCCCCGGCCCATTTCCGTGCTCTTGTGACCAGTGCCCCTGTGACCGGTCCCCTAGTCTGACCAAATCCCCGCCCCGTTGCAGCGCTCCTGTACCAGTGCTCGTTATGACCGATCTCCTTTCTGTCCCAGTGCTGGTGTACCAGTGCGCCCGCATGGCCGACAACTGTGGCGAGTGTCTGGCGCTCGAGCCGCGCTTCAACTGCGGCTGGTGCGAGTCGTCCGGACGCTGTGAGGTCAAGGACGAATGCGCCGCGCCGCCCTGGCTCGACCGCAGCAAGCCGTGCCCCAACCCGCGGGTACGAGTGTGAACCTCGTCCCCCACTATAACGACCAGTCGCCCGGGCTGAATGGACAGTCCTATACTTGGTAGAAGGAATGAAGATACCCTACAAAATTACCGCATGTAAATCGGTCAAGTGGTTGCTGAGATATTAGCCTCGCAAAAGCGTCCGCACGGGCTCATTCTCAAAAAGTTCCGTTAATCTACGAAAGACTCCGCTCGCTTCGCTTGCTCCGTAATAAGCTAAGAGCACGTCGGATAACGACAACTCAAGAAACTCAAGATTACCAAACGATATTTATTTTTAAATTACTTTTAAATACACAAAGCTTTCGGTCACATACGACCTTGATCACTGTGTTTCACATTGTGAAATCATCAATGTGAAATTGTGTAATCTTGAGTTTCTTGAGTTGTCGTTATCCAACTGTCATGGATACTTTACTAAGAGCCCGTCGCACCCCACCCTAACCGCTGCCTCCTCTCCGCTTTAGATTACCGACTTCAGTCCCAAGTCGGGTCCATACGAGGGCGGCACCAATATCACCATATCAGGCATCAACTTAGGGAAGACGTTCGAGGACATCTACGATCAAGTGACGGTGGCCGGCGTGCCCTGTAACCCGATCCGCGCCCTCTACAAGAAGACGCGACAGATTGTCTGCGAGGTAGACGGACCCGGCACCAACGAGGTACGAGTCAGTGAAGGTGGTGGCGGGCTGGGCGAGGGGGGGGGGGTCGGAGAATGGGGAAGAAGTGATTGTGTTGACTACGTGACATGTGGGCTGCCCGGAGCTAGGAAGGGTGGTACTGTGCAAGTGGTCCAGTTGACGATCTTGGCTGAGGCTATATTAGGATGAAATATTTTCTTTTGGCCGTGGATGATGTGCGACTCACAGCTGTGCGTGCCGTCTGTTTCTTGTACGTTGGTGAAAGTGGGGCTACTCAGCACTGTTGGCTGTATAATAATAGTGCTCTCTAGAATGGCACTATGTGATTTACCTGCTGGATGGGGAGATATGTGCAAAAGTTACGATGCACACAGCACTTACGTGTTTACCTCTCATTTTCCCTCCACAGTACCGCAGTGCCCCTGTAGTCGTCCGTGTGGTGGGTGTGACCCCCCCCGCCCCCCCCCCCCCCTTACAGTACCGCAGAGCCCCTGTAGTGGTCCGTGTGGTGGGCCTGACCCCCCCCCCCCTTACAGTACCGCAGCGCGCCAATGGTGGTCCGTGTGGTGGGCCTGACCTCCCCCCCCCCCTTCCACAGTACCGCAGCGCCCCTGTAGTCGTCCGTGTGGCCAGTTTCCGCGCCCAGTCGGCCGACAGCTACGAGTTCGTCGACCCTCGCATCTCTCGTATCGAGCCGACGCGCGGCCCGCGCTCCGGCGGCACCCACCTGCGCATCATCGGTGACCACATGGACGCTGGCTCGCGGGTGCGCGCTCAGCTGGGAGATCTGCCGTGCGAGGTGCGCGAGCGGGCCGCCACGTACGCGGTGTGTGTGACGGCGGCGGCGCCGCGGCCCGGCCCGCAGCCGCTCAGCATGACGTTCGACAGGACGCGCCGCCACCTGGCCGAGCCCAGCTACCAGTACGAGGAGGATCCGCGCGTGCTGGAGGTCAGCAGCGGCCCGAACCCGCAGGACAAGGTGCCCAAGGGCGTGCCGTCCGGCGGCGTCATCATCACCGTGCGCGGCGAGAACCTGCTGGTGGTGCAGCGGCCGCGGCTGGCCGTCCAGTACGCCGGAGACGAGTTCGTCAGCGTGAGTAGACGGGCTGTGGAGGGCTGGAGGGGTGGACAGGCTGGGAGTGGGTGAAGGTTTGGGATGGGAAAACAGGGTAGTCAGGTAAATAGATTGGTGATTCATGGGAAAATGGGGTGGATTGTAACTTCTAGCCATGTTGAACAAACTTTTTCTTCCACCTGTTTGGAAAAAAATCGTGATAAGACTCTTTGAATTGATGCAGTGTTACTGTCCCCCTGTCCCCATAAACTTGCGATAATCCGTGTCTGTTTCTGGTGCAGCAGCCATGTCGGGTGTTGGTTGATTGACTCCCTTTGACACCCCTAACCGGCGTTTCTCGTGCAGCAGCCGTGTCGTGTGCTGGGCGACGACCCCCTGCGGCCTCTGACTGTATCTGTGTCTGTCGGGTGGTGGTTGACGGACCCCCTGTGACTGTGTCGGTGTTTATGTGCAGCAGCCGTGTCGTGTGCTGGGTGACGAGCTGATGGAGTGCCGCTCGCCAGCCATCCCCAGCCACCCGCGGCCGCAGCAGATTCCCGCTCAGCGGCCCGAGAACCTTCACTACGGCTTCATCATGGACGACGTGAGTGACGCCCTGTGATGTGTGGGGCAGGGAGGGTGGGAGACTGGAACGACTACATATAACTGGAGCTTGTGAAGCGTAACGAAAGATTGTGCATCCGAGTTTATTTCGTCAACAGAATGAAATATAACTTAAATGGTGTCTTACTAGGAAAGTTCGGTCCTGTTTTGGCGTAGGCACCTACCTAATTACTTGAATTTCCTGCGAATCCACCACTGAATTTGCGCTCCCGTCTCTTCAGTAATGCTGCTCCATTTACACATGAAGATCGGGTAGCCTCCGGTGTATCGGTTTCTGCTGGCAGAGTGATCGACCGGTAGCTAATGTACGCGGTGTTCCTGCACTCTCTGATATTCCTCCCCCCTCCCTCCCTAGGTGCGCTCGGTGAGGAACCTCTCTGCGGCGAGCGGCGTGCGCCGATTCCAGCTCTACCCGGACCCCGTGTACAGTCCGTTCGAGGACGAGGACGGCGTCAAATACTACAAGAGCGACTACCTCACCATCAACGTGAGTGGACGTGGACAGCGGGGCCCAGTTTCAGCGGCAGGACGCGCGGCGATCGGGTGTAGGACGCTTTTGGAAACGATTGGAGTCTTTCACTGAAGTTGTGTTTCTTTTCTCACTGTTTTATAGGATCGTTTTATGCCCCTTTATTTTCGTGTGTGGGATGTATCAATTCCGAACTAATCACGATGGATGGATGAATAAATGGTTTTGGTCATCCGCCTGTCAATGTTCGTTAGATCCAGACAGCATTACGTAAGTTATTCTGTCGACAGACTCGGACAACTTCAAACCATTTGACTGATATGTCGCCCCTCCCATTTTCGGCAGGGCCGGAACCTGAACCTGGCCTGCCGCGACTCTGACGTCACAGTCCGGATCGGCACAGAGTTCTGCAACGTGACGTCACTCTCGCTCAATCAGCTGACGTGCAAGCCGCCCAAGAAGGCTCCTCTAGCCATTGGCGCCGACGGCCAGCCGACCGATGAGGAGCTGCCGCAAGTTATAGTACGTATTGCGACCGATAGATGGCAGGCGCCGCGCGCCGTATGGCCCATAGTTCATACTTCTGTCGCGTCCTTGTTCTACACTGTTTCTATCGTGCCATAAATTTTAGTGATTATTTATCGTTAGCCTTGTCCAATTATCCGGTTATAATTTGTGTTGAAAATCGGCCAGCGGAAGTGCTAAGTGCCGGTGTGTCGTTACCGCTGAGCTATGGGCCGGGTCGGTAAATCGATAGAAACTGCCATTGGCCGGTAGGTGGGTGGTTCTTGATTCTATATTCACTGGACTGTACCGCATCGTGTCGTGCTTTAGCTAACTGCGGTGTAAATAGCAATCGATGGCGGATGTGCATTTGATCCGTGTTTCCATCCTCAGGACGTGCCTATCCTCTCCCTTGCTCATCCATTCCTCTTCTGGGCTGGACGACCACCGAAAACCGGTGAGGGCAGCTCCTATAGGAGTGAGCCACACCGGGGTGACCGTTGAGTTGGTATCCTGTCTCTCGGTACGGAATGAGCCAAGGTGGTGCAACACCTGGTAGGCCTCCTTAGCTCAATGTCTCTCCTTTTCTTCTCGTCTCATTGCCCTCAATTCTGAAATGATCTTGCTGCACCGTAAGCGTCTAATCCTTACAGAGCTATCAGGTAAAGCGAAGTTTGCTGTAATTGAAGATACGGAGGATGTGTGTATTTTTAGAGGCATCAGCTTGCTGTTGTCAGGTTTCTGTTGTTGCGTATTCCTTTATCTCGTATACTCCATACATATACATATATATATATATATATATATATATATATATATATATATATATATATATATATATATATATATATATATATATATATATATATATATATATATATATATATATATATATATATATATATATATATATATATATATATATATATTATGTCCATCCTGTGATACCGTCTATCTAACTCTGTGTGTTCTGTGGCTCTTCAGGTGAGCATCGGCAGTCGCCTCAACTACACGATCGGACGGCTGTCGTACGCGGGACTGAACCCCGGCGGCGGCACGCTGCCACAACCGGTAAGGGGCGGGAACGCGGGACCTGGGGCTGCAGCTGCATTGGGCAGAGACGCGCGGGTTGTGTAGTGTCGTGTAGGGTAGTGGACTGGGCCCACAGCCGCTATGCCGAAGGGGGACGGATGAGGTGGATGGGGTGGCGCAGTAATGTGTCGTCTTGCTGGCCCTGCCACTGTAGCGTAGCGGAGGGCTTCATCGAGCCTGCCTCCTTGGCGTGTGCTGTATGTCGCATCAGTAAAGCGATGTCTTGTGTGGTTGACATGCTTGCTTTGTAAACACTGGTAGTTGAACTGCCTGTTATTCTCACTTTGAAAACTGTGACAAGTCAATGCAAGAGCACCATCTGTTCAGACGCTCGCCGGCGTTCATATCGCCCTATCCCCGTGTGTTTTCACCTTCACTCAATCTCACCAACCCATTCCCCTGACCTCCCCAGGTGATAATCGGCGTGGCGGTGGCAGCCTTTCTGCTGGTGCTAGCCGTCATCGCCATCCTCATCGCCTACAAACGCAAGTCGTCAGAGTCCTCCCGCGTGCTGAAGAACATGCAGGAGCAGATGGATGTGCTGGAGCTCAGGGTGGCCGCTGAGTGCAAGGAAGGTGCGTGGATGATTAAGGTTTGCGTTTTAGCTGCCCTGAGGAATAATGGGCTGCAAGTTTCGTGCAGTTACGTGTGGTGTTGGTGGATGGATTCCTCCGTCTATCAATTAAAAACGATTCCCATATCATTCTTATCAGGTATGATTAGTTTTTGGGATAAAAAACGGCTAATGAAAACAGCTATTACTCGATTGGATAAGTCGCGTTCTGCGAAGACGACGCCAGTTGTAAAGAGTTTCTCGAAGCTCCTTGGCGTTTTCTTGTGTTCTAACGCGTCTCGCGTTTCGCAGCATTCGCGGAGCTGCAGACGGAGATGACGGACCTGACCTCGGACATCACCGGCATCGGCATCCCGTTCCTCGAGTACCGCGCCTACTGCATGAAGATCCTCTTCCCCAGTCAGGAGGACCACCCGGTACTGCAGTGGGCTAACCGGCCCGATCTGCAGCGCCGAGAGAAGGGACTGAGGCTGTTCGGACAGCTCATCATCAACAAGACGTTCCTGCTGCTCTTTATACGGACCCTGGAGAGCAACCGATACTTCAGCATGAGGGACAGGTGGGTGTACCGAGAGGACTGCGTCCCTCTCACTCGGTGAACGGTGAACTAGGAACTAGGCAGTGACTCGCTGGTGTTAGTGCAGCGATCCGACGTGTCTTGCCTGCCCCGTTCAATTGACCAGGATCGTGTGTTCCTCGGGCACTGTCGGTTAACACGCCGCCTGCTGTGTTACCATGTTATGGTAACAGTGTCACCGTGTGTGTTACTCAGGGTGAACTTGACTTCTTTCCTTCCCCCGGACCATCAAACTCTGTTTCCCTTGTGATTAGAAACGTTGCCTCCATCACTGATCACGGTGACTCTCGTTTATCGGCCTATACCACCAGCTAACTCTGACCGTCTCCTCCAGGGTAAACGTGGCGTCCCTAATCATGGTGACACTCCAGTGTCGAATGGAATACTCCACCGACATCCTGAAGACGCTGCTCAACGAGCTGATCGAAAAGTGCACCGAGGGCAACGGGTCGCACCCCAAACTGCTGCTCAGGAGGTATGTATCGAGGGAATGGGTATAAAAACTCGAGCACCTAGCCGCTCCTTAGGGACTATCAGGCACGCCTAGAGGGGATATAGACATTCATGTCTCGTGTTAGTTTGCATATAGGGTGAAGTACGTATTGCAATCTTGGCGGGGCAATCGCGGATATTAGTTTCTCCGGTCAGGGCTGCCTAGCGTCATTCGTTTTGAGTTCCTAGCCCGATGATCATATATGAGCATTGTGTGATCGTGAATTTTACCATCAAACTATTTACTACCCAATCCCTCCCCGCTCCAACTGTGAACAACATGCACACCGTGCCCACCTGATTCGCTCCGCCCGCTGACCGCCCTCCCTCCTGCGCCACCAGGACCGAGTCGGTGGCCGAGAAAATGCTCTCCGCCTGGTTCACCTTCCTGCTGTACAAGTTCCTGCGCGAGTGCGCCGGCGAGCCGCTGTACCTGCTGTACCGCGCCATCAAACAGCAGGTGGACAAGGGCCCGGTGGACGCCGTGACCAGCGAGGCGCGCTACTCGCTCTCCGAGGAGAAACTCATCCGACAACAGATCGACTTCACATACATGGTGAGGGAGGCGGGGGAGAGGCGTGGAAGTGGGTTTGGTGGGGAGAGGGAGCCAAGTGAAGGGGTGAAGGGGTTCGCGGAACGGAGCTCATCAAGGGCTAGACACTTTTATAGAGGGCATTGCAGTTTTTATATTTCGTCTAGACATCAAAAGCTGCGGTTGCGTAGTTTTTTTTTTAGTAGAATGAATTTTGCTTCAGAGACTGAAAAGATCAGATGAGAGCGGTAGCTGTCTCGCTACTGTGTGACCTGACCAGTCCTCCCCCTACTATTCCAGACGGTGTACGTCTCGATGCCGACACAGACTGTCTACGTGTCCGGTCTGGACCCGCACCAGGACAACGTGGACATCCCTGTCCGTGTCCTCAACACGGACACCATCAGTCAGACCAAGGAGAAGAGTCTCGACTCCATCTACCGGTCCACGCCGTTCTCCATGAGGCCGCGGAAGGAGGACCTCGACCTCGGTAAGAGAGACGCACGAGGGGGTAAGGCAGACGTAGATGGCAGGATGGTGATGTGTGTTAGAGGGAGACAGTGGGATAGGTGTGTGGGGGACAGGGGAGTCTGGACGTTTGTGAGGAGTAGGGGTTGTTGAAAATAGCGTTGAGAGCTTGGATCATCCATATCGAACTGGCTCATTGATCGACTCTGTTCGCTCTAAGCTGGAGTACACTAGTCTCCCCGGTCTCCTCTTACCCACACATGCAGACTGTCACCTGCAATGATAATCTGATGTCGCTTCACCATGTAGACTAAAGGCCGCCGTCCACTGTGCGGAACGCTTGCGGTCCGTACGGAATTTAACACAGAGCCCTATGGGCGCATCCGGTCCGTACGGAAATCGTGTGCGTTCCGTGCGGACCGCATCCGAACGGCAATCAGCTGTTGATTTTCCGTCAGCTCTCCGCATGCGTTTCGGAAGCGGTTGCAACGGAAACGAGATAACAAAGTCCGACATGTTGAACTTTTCTGCGGAGAACGCAGGCGGAACGGACGCGGACAGGTACAGTCTTCCGTGTTTGAGTTTTCAATTGCAAATTTAAGAAATAATTTCAACTCTTTCAAGATGAAGTAAGTAAACATAATTTCTTTGACATGGCAGCACTATGTTATGCTAGTCAATTGCTATATTTTCTTTTGTAATAACTGATAATTGTTCTTCACACATTGTTAGCAAGTGTCCGTGAGCTTTCCGGATGCGGTCCGGATGCGGTCAGCGTGCGGCGACATTCCTGACGGACTCCGGACGGAATTCCGTCACAGTGGACGGCGGCCTTAACCCAGGCCTCTCCCCGTTCGTTTACACAGAGTGGCGGACGGGCAACTCTGGCCGTCTGATGTAGACTAATCCTCTCCTTATCCACTTACAGAGTGGCGGACGGGCAACTCTGGCCGTCTGATGTAGACTAACCATCTCCTTATCCACTTACAGAGTGGCGGACGGGCAACTCTGGCCGTCTGATGTAGACTAACCCTCTCCTTATCCATTAATAGAGTGGCGGACGGGCAACTCTGGCCGTCTGATGTAGGCTAACTCTCTCCTTATCCACTTACAGAGTGTCGGACGGGCAACTCTGGCCGTCTGATGCAGGCTAACTCTCTCCTTATCCACTTACAGAGTGGCGGACGGGCAACTCTGGCCGTCTGATGTAGACTAACCCTCTCCCCGTTCGTTGTTACAGAGTGGCGGACGGGCAACTCTGGCCGCCTGATCCTCTACGACGAGGACTCCACCACCAAACTGGAGAGCGGCTGGAAGAAGCTCAACACACTGTCACACTACCGCGTGCCCGACGGCGCGCTGCTCACCCTGGTGCCCAAGCAGAGCTCCCTGTACAACATCAGCATCCTGTCGGAGAAGTCGGACAAGTCGCACAAGTACGAGACGCTGAATCAGGCCAAGTACGGCGGCGCGCAGAGTCCGCCACTCAGCCGAGCCATGAGCCCCACCAACCACGAGAGTGGCATCAAGGTTAGTAGTTGGTGCTGTTGGGTGACATTGGGGTCAGGAAGGGGACGGCGCGGGATCATCACCATCAGCATTCCTTCATAAGGATCTTTTGCCGAAATGTTTGCAGTAAAGGTTTTCAAGATGATTTGTAGGATGGCTACGCGTCCTATGTTTGATAGTAGTGACACAGGTTATGTTGTTCCGAATGCACAAATGCATTGATCGCTTCATTTGCCCAATGGAGTCGTTGGACAAGGAGTCCTCATTCCCTTACCGCTGATGTCCAATGCAACTTCTCAGTCGCATTCATCGTCTTGACTTGGCCGTCCACTTTATGTGTGACCCATCTCAGTATCTGACCACCCCGTCCCTCTCTGCAGGTGTGGCACTTGGTGCGACACTCCGAGTCGGAGCAGCGCGACGGCGAGCGCAGCAACAAGATGGTCTCGGAGATCTACCTGACGCGCCTGCTGGCCACCAAGGGCACCCTGCAGAAGTTCATGGACGATCTGTTCGAGACCATCTTCAGCACGGCGCACCGCGGCTCGGCGCTGCCGCTGGCCATCAAGTACATGTTTGACTTCCTGGACGACCAGGCGCTGCTGTACGGCATCACCGACCCGGATACGGTGCACACGTGGAAAAGCAACAGGTTAGGGAGGGGTGGGGCGGGACTCGGTAGGGGACATGGAAAGGAGTGGAAGGGACCCGGGAAGAGGAGTAACGGCACGGCAGGGGACGATGGTAGAGCGTGAGGGTTACGGAAGAAAGACATGGGGAGAGAAGTAGAGAGTTGAAATGAGCGAGACGGTCCGATGTCGTAGGACCTCTTGAACAGCTCTTTCGGCAGTCATTCATCGCATGTATGCTCAATTGTTCAATAAAAATGTTCCTATAATGAATTTTCCTGAGCCGACTGATTACCGTGAATGCGGCGGCTGCCTGTGAGACGGTGTACTGACGTGTGTCTCCTTTCGTTCGTTCGCAGCTTGCCACTGCGGTTCTGGGTGAACCTCATCAAGAACCCGAACTTCGTGTTCGACATCCACAAGTCCAACATCGTCGACTCGTGTCTGTCCGTGGTGGCGCAGACCTTCATGGACTCGTGCTCAACCACCGACAACAAGCTCGGTACGTAGCGCCGCCCTTACACCAGAGTCGTCATGCTTACACCGACCTCCGTGTTGTAGGTGGTCAGTCCAATTTGTCCGCTTTCACGAAGGTCCACTTGGACCGTTGCCTACCTGGGGGCTGTCTTAGCATGCTCAGTTTTACGTGCAGGCATCGGCTATCGCGTGCTCCGATAATACTCCGGACGATATTTTAGAGTTGTAGAGCGATGAGGTGGTTGTCGGTGTCGGTACATCACATCTCTGATTGCAAGTTATGTGTCGTGTATCTTATGTTATTTGTTATTTATTCACAGGCAAGGACTCGCCGTCGAGCAAGCTGCTGTACGCCAAGGACATCCCGATCTACAAGGAGTGGGTGACCAAGTACTACGACGACATCAAGAGGATGCCGGCCATCTCCGACCAGGACATGAACGCCATGCTGGCAGAGGAGAGCAGGGTAAGTCAGTCGGGGTAGTTATCTGAGAATCTTCTGCACTCTGGGGTTTGAGACTGGTTGTCTTTTCGCTGAAGACGCCCATATTGTTTCATGATGAACAGCAGTTAAGGGCCAATTATGCTTTTTTCGGGTTCTGCTCTTCAGAATCTGTTAGAACGTTGCCAGTATTTACTTTCAACCTCACGCGCGAAGACTTGCATCCGACCTTCTATCTCTATATATTTCGTTTGCTCTTTCTTTATCCCTCTTGCTCTTTCCCTGTACTTTTTTCTAAAAGTTCAATTTCTCTTGTCATTTTACCCCTCTCCCATTCTCTTTCTCTCCTCCCAAAATGCCGCCCTTTCCACTGTAATTCTGACCGTCCCTCTCCCCTTCCTTCAGCTGCACCAACAGGAGTTCAACACCAACTGCGCGCTGCACGAGCTGTACGTGTACGCGGACAAGTACAGCGGCCAGCTGATGGCCAACCTCGAGGAGGACGAGTTCTCCAGTCGACAGCGGCTCGCGCTCAAACTCGAGCAGGTCAGTGTGTGGGGACTGAGTCTGGGGCGCGGCTGGGGTAGGAGACGATAGCATAGTAGTTGCCGAGGACTGAAATTCTCTCAGTCCTCATCAGTCTCAGTCATCACAGTCGTTACAGTGATGTGCTCAGCATTGTTGCGGGGCAGGATAGATCATTTTCAGTGGCCATTAAGGTTTGTTAGCGAACGTAGTTTTGAGATGTACAGCCCACCGCTAAAGTAATGGGTGGTTTTACCAATCTCAACGGATGGCTTTGACCAACGATTTTTTAATGCGGACTGATTGAAAAGAAGACGTCAATAGATAAAGTTGTAGCTGCAAGGGTGAAGATACATGTAAGCTACATTTAACCCTCGCCCATGTAGGGGGGGGGGGGTTGGTGCAACCCCCCCCCCCTGAGGTTTTTCGGAAATAGTGCAAAAACGGCGGCGCGCAGCGCCGCCAAATTTTGGGTACCTTATGGGGCAAACCTTGCGCATCTTTTGATAAAAAAAATTGACAGGGTCATGTCAGGTCACGGAGTTATGACGTCACAAAGGGAACAGCCTCCGGCCGGATTTTCACAAACTGAGTGCCAACGCCCGAGGTTTCCTGCCGGTGGTACGGACATCGGTTGATGGATCGTGATGAAACTTCCCATGCATGTTGGGGCAAGTATTGGCTATCATATGGTATAAGAAACTTGACCGGGTCAGGTCAGGTCACGGAGCTATGACGTCACAAGAGGAACAGCGTCCGGTACTATTTTTGAAAAGCGCCCGAACCACTATTTTGCTAATTCTTGTATAACTATTCTATTTTCACCTCAATGGGAATATGCAGCAATATTAGCTTCTATAGGGAGCAAATGGACCTTCCAAATCCAAAAATACAATCAGATTTCAAAAATTTAAATTTTGATTTTTCGAATTTCTGCCGCCGACTGTGACCTTGCCGACTTCCGGCGCTCCCAACGCGCCATTTTTAGAGCTAGGGAAACGAAATGCATACCAAACGATAGAGAATTGATCAAGGAACACAATAGTGAAGGTTTCAAGTCGATATCTCCCACCGTTTTGCCGCAATCGCCGCGGAAAGTTGAAAAAAGTCTATTTTTCCGAAAATTTGACCTTTGACCGGTCAAAAGTAGGTCAAATGTTGACCTAGGACCAAAAAATATACCACCAATCGCGAGATCTCGGCGAGAGCAATCCGTTGGTCTTTTCCGCTAAGCTCTACGACGCTCCGTTTTCAAACGCCAAGGGGGGGGGGTCGCACCAATCCCCCCCCCCCTGCATGGGCGAAGGTGGCAGATCGCCGTTTACGGGCGAGGGTTAAAGGCTCGTTGCAGTCTGGCTAATCGTTCCTAGGCTTCAGAAGCAGAACATACCCATGAGTGAAACCCCACATTACTTCTGCTGTGGACTGTTCAGTCCACAGCAGAAGTAATGTTTGGTTTCACTCATGGGTATGTTCTGCTTCTGAAGCCTAGGAACGATTAGCCAGACTGCAACGAGCCTTTAAATGTAGCTTACATGTATATTCACCCTTGCAGCTACAACTTTATCTATTGACGTCTTCTTTTCAATTAGTCCGCATTAAAAAATCGTTGGTCAAAGCCATCCGTTGAGATTGGTAAAACCACACATTACTTTAGCGGTGGGCTGTACGTTTTCCTAGAAAGCTTTGTAATCAATATCGAGTTAACGGGTATGGGACAAAGTGTCCCGTTTCGTTTGTCAGTTACCAGCTCGTTACAGACTGTTAATGAGTCGGTTTCTGAGAATGTGCCGCAGCGGTGGACGTCATTGCCTTCACCGCTCCGTCGTGCCGTCCATTAGCGCTCGGCTCCCGTCACCGAGTTCTGGGTAGCAGCGCTAACCCTTTCCTCACAGTCCGTCAACCCCTGTCTAACAGCGCCCTCCCTGCCGTTCACAGGTGCACAAGATAATGGCCGGCGAGCCGGACCCCTGACAGTTACAGTCCGGCGTTCTCGAGTGGACCGGCTGGAACGGAGAGTGGCAGTAGACGGCCGGTCCGCTCGGCCGGCCGGCCGACACCGGGCGGTCGACGGCCTCTGAGAGCGCCAAAAGCCAACGCCGGGTCACAAAGCTGGGTCACAACGCCGGGTCACAGAGCTGGGTCACAACGCCGGGCCACAGCGCGGGGTACAGCGCTGGGACATCGTGACAAGCCAGATGGGCCGAATGACGGGCCTTGGAAGGGATGGCGAGCCGCTGGCAGGGATGACACCTCTATGGATGGATAGATTGGCACGCCGGAGACCTGACGGGGTTTAGACGGGCGTCTCTGCCTGTAACGCAGCTCTCCGGTTCGCCCGGCTGCCACCGCCGCGTCCCGCCCCCCACTCAGTGAGCCGCTGTTCCCACTCCGCCCGTCGGTCCCCGCCACTCCGTGTGTATGTGTGTACATGTGAACTGTATCTGACCCCAAGCGACTACGTGAGTGTGTCTTCACAATCAAAACGGGCGCCGAAGACTGGTGAAGTATGGGCGACGGCCGGGGCCGCCGCGTCTCCGCCAATTGTGATACTTATTCTGAATATCAAATGGTGTTTTCTATGGCGTGTATGTGCGCGGCCGTGGCGTGTCTCCGTGTCGCGTGCGCAGCCGCCCGCCGCTGGTCCCGCCTGCCCGCCTCTGTTGTCGCCACTCTCCGACTGTCTTTGTTGCTCAATGGGGCCATCTTCCAGGGGCGCCGCGCCGCCCGGGTGTGTGTGTGTCTGTGTGCGGGACATGCGTCTGTACATAGACGGCCGAATAGCTTACAGCCCATCGTGTCACAAACCGAGCAGCAATATGTCTCCGCACCGCGGCCGTGCTGTCTGCAGCCGTCGACTCGCTCGCCCAGAAGCTGATATTGTGTTCATATTCATTTTTTCACGGTAGCGCTATTCGCAACGAACTCGCTGTATTCCATTGTGCGGGCGGTAGGCAGGGATCATTTGTACTGAGCCGTGGTGCTGGAGGCTGGACGGCGGCCGGCGCTGTCTCCCCGGCTCTGACTGCAGGGAGCGGTGTATTGGACGGCGGTACGGCCGACCTCTCCCCCTGCCGGCCGCTGTCGGCACAGCAGCCCCTGTGTGTGTGCGTGTGTATGACGGCCGCCTGTTTTAGGGGCCGCCCCCTCAATGTCCTACTCTCTGACACCGGACCGGGCTGCGGCCGGTGTACCGGGTCGCGGCGCCCGCCGGCTGGCCGCCTTTTACCGGATCTAGTCTCAGCCGATCGGCAGCGCCCGAGGCCGGCGGCGACCTGCGCCGCGGCCGACGGCAGCACAACGGGCAGGCGCGCCGGGCGCCGGCCGTTCATTGTTATCTTATGTATGTACGTGTTTGTATTTGTATTTGTGTACATCGCGCTCATTGCGTAAATACATTTTTCAATGAAGGTGTAGACGGTGGTTTGCTGTTAAGTATTTGCGGAGTGGTGTGAGAAAGCTTGAGTCAAGTGACACAACGTGGTCGATAGATGAAGAGGCCATCGGGGAACATTTGTGATTTCGCTGTAACGTTCTCAGTAAGCAATGAAAGGTAGTGATTATATACGGCCTTGGTGATTATTGCATATTTACATCGCAGGTCCCTGAAAGGGCCGCAGATTGGTGCTCTGAGTCTGGTCTGAGCTGCTGAAGCGCGCACGTGTATAAACCCGCCGCACGTTTGCTTTGCTTCAACAAAGTGTGTCCTGTCCACTGATTTCACCTAATGCCAACACTGGGCGTCGCCTGTTACGTCGCTGTGTGGGTGGATCCCAGCGCTGGAGATGACGTTTGGTTTGACCACTGCTTTCCGCTGACACCTCTCGGCCCGCTGTGTGTGCACAAAGCAGCTGTACACGACGGTTAAATATTGGACTGGGACCAATAGCGGTGGGAGGGGCCACTTCAGCTGTGAGAGGAGGCTATCGGGTCGGCATGTGGCGAGTATTGGGTCGACAGGTTTAGGTATAGTATGTCTAAAAAGAATGTCCCCTCGCCACCACGCGGCGCTGGTGTCGCGAGCCGGTAGTTGGCTGAATCCGGATCAAACCACGCATTCCCATGCGCTGGGCGACAGCTACGCAGTGGCTGATAGTAGCGTAATCCCGAACCTTCGTGACACGACCTCGGGAAGGAGGGAGGGGTGTGGGCGGGGAGCGCGTGGTGCGCTCCCCCGCCCGCTAAGGAAGGGTGCGCCGCGCGGCGCGCGGTATAGGCTGGCGGCTGTCTCGGCCAAAGGGCAGGGGTCACACACCAAGCCAACGAGTGCTGATGAGGGTTCGTAGGGACTGTGAAGTTTTGCCACGTTTGACACGTTTGCTACGGGTGCCACGTTTAGCGACGTGCCTGAGCCAAAAGGGAGCGTTGAAGAAAAAACATCTGGTTAACCACATCGTGGTAATAGAGTGTGCCAATGCAGGCCTTCATGACCATAAACAGCTTTTCTAAGTTCGCAGAGGCCACCATTGAACAACAATATCCGGATCGAAGTTAACGATGCCGAGCTACTATCGCTGCAAAAACACTCCTGGAAATTTGTGAAAGAAAAATACACTCGTCATTTCTGTTTTTGCTATTTTAATGTTTTGTTTTAGTTTTCCTTTAATTGATCAGAAAGAAAAACAAAATTGTAATTAAAAGGAAATTTTACATTATTTTCATAAAGTGAGGACTTTGGATAGTTCATCTTTGGTAGACGCCCAATAAACAATAGTGTTCGCCGAGGAAACTTATAACGCGTTAACCAGGTCAGGGTCAGGTATGTCCGTGAAGTTAGCGTCAGCAACAGCAACGAATACAGCGTCGGATTCAGAATCGCTTAAAAAACTCATATTTGGTCAATTGGGGGACGGGGAGCAAGAATATGACCTTTATTTGGCCCTAGCTCTTACCCCTTACCCCTTAATCGGCCCTTAAAGGAAGGGGCGCGTCAAAAGTGCCTCAAGGGTTCGTCTGATCGCCAAAATAACGGTCGCAATCGATTCCCCGGGTCAATATCTAGCCGCAGCCTCGGGTTCCAGATGTGTGCAACTTACCCCTTACCCCTTAATCGGCCCTTAAAGGAAGGGGCGCGCCAAAAGTGCCTCAAGGGTTCGTCTGATCGCCAAAATAAGGGTCGTAATCGATTCCTCGGGTCAATATCTAGCCGCAGCCTCGGGTTCCAGATGTGTGCAACTTACCCCTTACCCCTTAATCGGCCCTTAAAGGAAGGGGCGCGTCAAAAGTGCCTCAAGGGTTCGTCTGATCGCCAAAATAAGGGTCGCAATCGATTCCCCGGGTCAATATCTAGCCGCAGCCTCGGGTTCCAGATGTGTGCAACTTACCCCTTACCCCTTAATCGGCCCTTAAAGGAAGGGGCGCGTCAAAAGTGCCTCAAGGGTTCGTCTGATCGCCAAAATAAGGGTCGCAATCGATTCCTCGGGTCAATATCTAGCCGCAGCCTCGGGTTCCAGATGTGTGCAACTTACCCCTTACCCCTTAATCGGCCCTTAAAGGAAGGGGCGCGTCAAAAGTGCCTCAAGGATTCGTCTGATCGCCAAAATAAGGGTCGCAATCGATTCCTCGGGTCAATATCTAGCCGCAGCCTCGGGTTCCAGATGTGTGCAACTTACCCCTTACCCCTTAATCGGCCCTTAAAGGAAGGGGCGCGTCAAAATTGCCTCAAGGGTTCGTCTGATCGCCAAAATAAGGGTCGCAATCGATTCCTCGGGTCAATATCTAGCCGCAGCCTCGGGTTCCAGATGTGTGCAACTTACCCCTTACCCCTTAATCGGCCCTTAAAGGAAGGGGCGCGTCAAAAGTGCCTCAAGGGTTCGTCTGATCGCCAAAATAACGGTCGCAATCGATTCCCCGGGTCAATATCTAGCCGCAGCCTTGGGTTCCAGATGTGTGCAACTTACCCCTTACCCCTTAATCGGCCCTTAAAGGAAGGGGCGCGCCAAAAGTGCCTCAAGGGTTCGTCTGATCGCCAAAATAAGGGTCGCAATCGATTCCTCGGGTCAATATCTAGCCGCAGCCTCGGGTTCCAGATGTGTGCAACTTACCCCTTACCCCTTAATCGGCCCTTAAAGGAAGGGGCGCGTCAAAAGTGCCTCAAGGGTTCGTCTGATCGCCAAAATAAGGGTCGCAATCGATTCCCCGGGTCAATATCTAGCCGCAGCCTCGGGTTCCAGATGTGTGCAACTTACCCCTTACCCCTTAATCGGCCCTTAAAGGAAGGGGCGCGTCAAAAGTGCCTCAAGGATTCGTCTGATCGCCAAAATAAGGGTCGCAATCGATTCCTCGGGTCAATATCTAGCCGCAGCCTCGGGTTCCAGATGTGTGCAACTTACCCCTTACCCCTTAATCGGCCCTTAAAGGAAGGGGCGCGTCAAAATTGCCTCAAGGGTTCGTCTGATCGCCAAAATAAGGGTCGCAATCGATTCCTCGGGTCAATATCTAGCCGCAGCCTCGGGTTCCAGATGTGTGCAACTTACCCCTTACCCCTTAATCGGCCCTTAAAGGAAGGGGCGCGTCAAAAGTGCCTCAAGGGTTCGTCTGATCGCCAAAATAACGGTCGCAATCGATTCCCCGGGTCAATATCTAGCCGCAGCCTCGGGTTCCAGATGTGTGAAACTTACCCCTTACCCCTTAATCGGCCCTTAAAGGAAGGGGCGCGTCAAAAGTGCCTCAAGGGTTCGTCTGATCGCCAAAATAAGGGTCGCAATCGATTCCCCGGGTCAATATCTAGCCGCAGCCTCGGATTCCAGATGTGTGCAACTTACCCCTTACCCCTTAATCGGCCCTTAAAGGAAGGGGCGCGTCAAAAGTGCCTCAAGGGTTCGTCTGATCGCCAAAATAAGGGTCGCAATCGATTCCCCGGGTCAATATCTAGCCGCAGCCTCGGGTTCCAGATGTGTGCAACTTACCCCTTACCCCTTAATCGGCCCTTAAAGGAAGGGGCGCGTCAAAAGTGCCTCAAGGGTTCGTCTGATCGCCAAAATAAGGGTCGCAATCGATTCCTCGGGTCAATATCTAGCCGCAGCCTCGGGTTCCAGATGTGTGCAACTTACCCCTTACCCCTTAATCGGCCCTTAAAGGAAGGGGCGCGTCAAAAGTGCCTCAAGGGTTCGTCTGATCGCCAAAATAAATGTCGCAATCGATTCCCCGGGTCAATATCTAGCCGCAGCCTCGGGTTCCAGATGTGTGCAACTTACCCCTTACCCCTTAATCGGCCCTTAAAGGAAGGGGCGCGTCAAAAGTGCCTCAAGGGTTCGTCTGATCGCCAAAATAACGGTCGCAATCGATTCCCCGGGTCAATATCTAGCCGCAGCCTCGGGTTCCAGATGTGTGCAACTTACCCCTTACCCCTTAATCGGCCCTTAAAGGAAGGGGCGCGTCAAAAGTGCCTCAAGGGTTCGTCTGATCGCCAAAATAAGGGTCGCAATCGATTCCCCGGGTCAATATCTAGCCGCAGCCTCGGGTTCCAGATGTGTGCAACTTACCCCTTACCCCTTAATCGGCCATTAAAGGAAGGGGCGCGTCAAAAGTGCCTCAAGGGTTCGTCTGATCGCCAAAATAAGGGTCGCAATCGATTCCCCGGGTCAATATCTAGCCGCAGCCTCGGGTTCCAGATGTGTGCAACTTACCCCTTACCCCTTAATCGGCCCTTAAAGGAAGGGGCGCGCCAAAAGTGCCTCAAGGGTTCGTCTGATCGCCAAAATAAGGGTCGCAATCGATTCCTCGGGTCAATATCTAGCCGCAGCCTCGGGTTCCAGATGTGTGCAACTTACCCCTTACCCCTTAATCGGCCCTTAAAGGAAGGGGCGCGTCAAAAGTGCCTCAAGGGTTCGTCTGATCGCCAAAATAAGGGTCGCAATCGATTCCCCGGGTCAATATCTAGCCGCAGCCTCGGGTTCCACATGTGTGCAACTTACCCCTTACCCCTTAATCGGCCCTTAAAGGAAGGGGCGCGTCAAAAGTGCCTCAAGGGTTCGTCTGATCGCCAAAATAAGGGTCGCAATCGATTCCCCGGGTCAATATCTAGCCGCAGCTTCGGGTTCCAGATGTGTGCAACTTACCCCTTACCCCTTAATCGGCCCTTAAAGGAAGGGGCGCGTCAAAAGTGCCTCAAGGGTTCGTCTGATCGCCAAAATAAGGGTCGCAATCGATTCCTCGGGTCAATATCTAGCCGCAGCCTCGGGTTCCAGATGTGTGCAACTTACCCCTTACCCCTTAATCGGCCCTTAAAGGAAGGGGCGCGTCAAAATTGCCTCAAGGGTTCGTCTGATCGCCAAAATAAGGGTCGCAATCGATTCCTCGGGTCAATATCTAGCCGCAGCCTTGGGTTCCAGATGTGTGCAACTTACCCCTTACCCCTTAATCGGCCCTTAAAGGAAGGGGCGCGTCAAAAGTGCCTCAAGGGTTCGTCTGATCG